CTTTGAAGTCCGTTTTCTGTGTCTCCGTTTTCTTCGGAACTGGAAATATACTTTCATTTCTGCGTTTAAATATATTCACGTTACTAAACATCATCATAGCTCTTTAAAAAGTCGATTTAGAAATGTCTAAATTAAAGCTCCATTTAGTAAACGCTGGAGTGTGAGGGCAGCTCGCCACCGCGCAATCAGAGTCTCTTGCTGAGGATCCTTCGAACCTACTTCTCCCGACTCCTTCGCCGAGTTGACGCTTCGCTTCGAGGAAAAGGAAAGCTGAAGGGGTGCTCTGGACGCCGTCGTGTGGGCGTGAAGTGGGAATTTTATCGAACGTAAAACAAATTCTATAGATTGAACAAGGGGCAAGGAGGCGGGGTCGTGAGGAAGGGGCGCGCACTCCTGTCACGATGCTCTTTTGTCTCGCTGTTGGAAGCCGCCTCGTCCGTCCGCGCGGATGAAAGGACTTACAAATGCACAGTCCTTGCCGCGCGCAGAACAGTAAGAAAATATAATGATAACGCATATATTTCTATACCAGACAAAAAAATCCCAGTAGGTTTAAATTCCTCCAACCACCATTACTTCAAGTAAACCTGGCAACGAGTTATTGAAAATGACTTCCTTCCCTCCCTTGACATGCACCGATGACCACGACTCCGCTCTCGCATACTCCGGCGCAGGAACCAGCTATATTAATGAGCTCTTAACTCTCATCAGGAGGTCACACTTGAGGTACTGAATTCCCTTCGAGTCGATCTCGAAAAGGTTATAGGGTGTTGGATCGTGACGGTCAAAGCTCGATCTGAAACTCGTTTTAAGGAATGTGAATTTGGCGATTTAAGAATTACTGACCTTTTTTCTAAGATTTGCTTGCGCGAGCACGTGTGGGGAGGGGGTGGGGCGTGAGAGAGAGAGAGAGAGAGAGAGAGAGAGAGAGAGAGAGAGAGAGAGAGAGAGAGAGAGAGAGAGAGAGAGAGAGAGAGAGAGAGAGAGAGAGAGAAGCGACTTTCATATGACGTGTTGGCAATATAATTCACCTGAAAGACTAATCTCCTAGATTTCATTTCACGAATCCCTGTCGTGTTTACTAATGTCGCAAAATGGCGAGTCCACACATTTTGCAATGTCCCATGAATAATCGCTGGAACAAGTTATACAAAAAAGAAAAAAAAATCACCGTTGACACTCCCGGAAAAACTACAAACCATAATCATAAAAAGGACAGTATCTGAACTCCCTCCGCTGATGGCGTCACAGCGACGAGAAACTTAACAGTAAATTTCACACTTAGAGGCTCCGTGGCACGGGCTGCCTTTCGCCTGGCGAGTCCGTCGGCCCCATGCAGTACGCGCTCATGCCAACGCCCATAACATAGATACACACACGCATTTGCAAATAATCAGACAAACACACAGACTATAGGGGCATATAAACACATACACACACACACACACACACACACACACACACACACACACACACACACACACACACACACACACACACACACACACACACACACACACACACACACACACGCAAACCACTAGAACCAAATGAAAATTAATAAACATGAGAAATAATATAAACGACCCGAAAATACGATATTATATCTCCCTCCCGTTTGGCATGGAGGTCATAAGTTCAAAGGATCAACGGAGGTCAAATCAACATTAGTTGCCGCCAAGCAAATATGTCACGCGCAAAAAAGGTCCCCTAAACAATTAACCTTAAACTCCCGACACTTTCCTCCGGTAGATGACATCTCCGCGGAGTCAAAGGTCACTGGAGCTGGGAAGCTGAGGTCAAAGCGCTCGCAGGATGCTGGCTCGGGATGTCGCGCGATGATGAAGATGCCTCCCTCTCTCCTTTTCATCCGGGTCTCGGCATCTTGGCGCACGCAGGCCTATCGCAAACGTCTTTTCTCCATCCATCCCATCCAACTCTGGCCGGGATTCACCCGAATGGAAATTCCTGCAATATTGCACTCGGAGGACGCATTGCAACCCGTGTTTATTAGATTTAGACGGAGACGCCCTATAACCCTACTCCCTTGGGCTCAGACTCGCGTCCTTTTCTTCAGGATTCTCGACCAATTTGACAGAGGTTGGACGTACTCTCAGCTGTGGGTCAGAAACTAGACGGAAATTCTTCGGTGTTCTAGTGTGTTCTCGAAGCAGCTCGCAAAAAAAGAAAAAGAGAAAAAAATCATCCGGTGGTAGTGTTTGATGTCGGGGTAATGGGGGAGAGGGGACTGGAGGGGGGGGAAGGGACTTGGGTTTCTTTGTCTGTCTGTCTGTTTATGTCTGTCTGGATGTCGGGGGGAGGAAGGTGACACAGAGTCATGATCAGTGTCGTTTTCTTTGTATTTTTGTTTGTTTATTCATGGATGTGTGGGGGATCAGGGAGGAGAGAGGGATAGATTCTGGGTGTGGGGTTTAAAACCGTTTCTATTCTCCCTCCCTCTCTTCTTCCCTCACTCTCAAATATCTCCAAAACCCTTCCATAATTTCATCCCCTTTTTGTTTACGTAAATCCCCCTATTCTCGGACGTGGACAAACAAACTTCGCCGCCGGATCGAGTCACCCGCACCACGGAGACCGAAGAAGAAAATAAACCGACTTAAGACTTGCAGACTTAAGAAGAAGAAAAAACTTGACTTAAGACTTACAGACTTACAGGCCGAAAGAGGCCTACCTGGGAGCCACGACTGTCACTTTAGGGAAGGAGGCTCTGGATACTTTTAGCGTGGCTGTGTAACCGCAACATGTAAAAGCTTTCACAGGGAAGCGTGATGGAGGACTGACAGCCAAGGATAAGTCACCCCCCCTTCTCTCTCTCTCTCTCTCTCTCTCTCTCTCTCTCTCTCTCTCTCTCTCTCTCTCTCTCTCTCTCTCTCTCTCTCTCTCTCTCTCTCTATCCAACTCCCTCTCCCTCTCCCTCTCTCAGTGTGTGAGTGTAAATGTGCGTATAAGTGTGCGTGTGAGCCTGCGTTTGTGTGTACGACTGTGCTTATGTGTATATCTAAATAACCATCCTAGTAACTCGACTTAGGTACGTGTGCAAGTAAGCATCTTTCACCATACCCTCACCTCCCTCTCCCCATCCTACGCACCCCCTCCCCCTCCCGCACAACGCAGATATTGCTTTAACCCAACAAAACTGTTCGCATATTTGTTGTATGTACCATTTGTTCACAGAGAGGGCCGGGCACCGAAACACATCTCTGTCAGCAAAACCTACCAGTGTTACCTCGCGCTTTTGAACGAAAACATACACAGTTCAATCGTTTTTTCCCCATGGTTCAAAAATAAAATAAAAAATAAAATAAATAAATCTTAAAAAGTCTTACTGACTTGTATTCTCTCTTGCTTCACAAGCTCTCCAGGAAAACCTTTGTATCTGCAGGTTCTATTGGAAAAACAGTGTCGTTTACTTACGCTTCCTACAATATGTTTTGCATACATGCATACATATCAGGTAAAAGGATAGAGAGTGAGGGTGGGGCGAGGGGAGTGGAGAGAGGGGACATGGGAGGGAGGGAGGGAGGGAGGGAGGGAGGGAGGGAGGGAGAGAGAGAGAGAGAGAGAGAGAGAGAGAGAGAGAGAGAGAGAGAGAGAGAAGAGGAGAGAGACGAGAGAGAGAGAGAGAGATGAGAGAGAAGAGAGAGAGAGAGAGAGAGAGAGAGAGAGAGAGAGAGAGAGAGAGAGAGAGAGAGAGAGAGAGAGAGAGAGAGAGAGAGAGGAGAGAGAGAGAGAAGAAGAGAGAGAGAGAGAGAAAGAGAGAGAGAGAGAGAGAGAGAAAGAGAGAGAGAAAGAGAGAGAGAAGAGGCGAGAGAGAAAGAGAGAGAGAGAGAGAGAGAGAGAGAGAGAGAGAGAGAGAGAGAGAGAGAGAGAGAGAGAGAGAGAGAGAGAGAGAGAGAGAGAGAGAATCCAGAAAACACGAGTGTCATGCCATGCCTCCTAAATACACAACGAATAACATTGTCCTCCTCCGACACAGACAGCCAGGATGCAGAAATACATATACCTGGATGCTGCCATAAAGATTAGTTTGGTGGGAACATGAAGAGGCAGTGGGCACTTGTGGTACCTATGACAATATCCAGCGAGTACGAATGAATACGTAAAAAAGAAGAAAAATGCCGGTACACAACAATCATTGTTTTGGATCTAGGTCCCAGCTTGTAATGGAATGATACAGCAGACAGGGTCACCATTCACTCTTTCTATAATTCAGTCATTCATTTATCTCTCTCTCTCTCTCTCTCTCTCTCTCTCTCTCTCTCTCTCTCTCTCTCTCTCTCTCTCTCTCTCTATCATTCACAAACACGCATGACTTTATTGTTTTGTTTCATTCATTCCAGCAAAAAAGAAATTAACGATTTCCTCTCCCTCGCTAAAATATTTACCGTGAAGCACCTGTTCCCATCCAGCACTCCAGTCCTTTCTTTTACTTTTATACTCTTTTCTTTTTCTGGACTTGATTTATCTCACCGATATCCCCCCTTTCTAAACGTTATGCGATCCTTTTATTGCGTTTCCTGCTTTATTTATTCGGGTCTTTTTTTCATTCTTCCTGTGCATCCTTTTCACACTTTTCCCCTTTTATTTTCTTCTGGTACGATTTATCAGCCTCTCTCTCATTCTCTCCCTCCCTCTCTCTCCTTGATTTCTCTCCATTTCCTTTTTTTTTCCCCTGAAGCCGGCAAAACGAGACGCAGCAACTTGGCGATAACCGCTCAGAACCACCCACTTGCTCTTAGCCCTCATCAGCGCCCGCGAGAGAACCACTTAAGAGTTCTTACCTGTCCTAAGAAATTTAATTGAGGTGGACTTACAGCCTCCCGCTAGACGCTGACATTGCTTCCCGGTAATTGTGGATAAAAAGCGGCTGGCAGTTGGGTTTCCTTTTGGGGAACTTCATTGGGATATTTTATGAATGCTGTGGAATGGAATGATATGTGTCATACAAACATACATACATATATACATATATACAGATATACAGATATACATATATACACATATATATATATATATATATATATATATATATATATATATATATATACATATATATACATATATATACATATA